CTGCACGGGATCCGGCCGCAGAGCCTGACGTCAGGAGCATTTAAAAGAAAAAAAAACAAACCCACCCAACCAAAAAAAACCCAGTCACGCTTAGTTTTGATGACTGTTTTTCAGAGGAAGCTGAAAAAAAAGAAAGCAAAGAGCCCCAACCCCCAAAATACCCAGAGACAGAAGAGGTGGGGGGAATGGAAGGGCAGGAGGATGCACGTGGCTGGCATCGGTGGTGGTGCCGCTGCAGCCGGGCACCCATCACGGCCAGCAGCCGGGCCCTCCGTGCGACGCAGGGAGCGTGCAAGGGGCGCAACGTCAGACGCAACAGAAGGAAACAGCATTGCATCAACAGCCCTTCTCCTGACGGCAGTGATTCATGCTTTCACCTGAAAAAAAAAGTACCCCCCGAGCTGGGTTTCCACTAGCAGTTTTAATGGGACTATCCCACCGTGAAGGTTCTTGGAAACTAAATGACTTTTGGAAAAACTCTCCAGTGACCTGGCAGTAGTCAAATGTAGCCCGTGGTAGGTTGTTCCCATCTTATGCTCGTTTCCATTCTGACAGAAACTATTCCACCACCACCCCCAGCTTCAACCCGTTCCGCTCTGCCCTGGAGGTGCTCCTGCCTTTCGCTGGTGCCTGGTCCCCGAGCTGCTGCCCCATGGGACGAGCTGCACGCCCCACGCCCCCCTGCGAAATCACCGCAGGTCCTTTGTCCTGCTGCTCCCCCGCTGCCTGCTCCCACAGCACGACACTCGCCTGGGACACAGCGCGCCCCGGGACATCCTCAGATGAGTGCGAAGCTCTCACTGGGCTGGCTTTGGTCTCCCTTTTTCCCAGCTGTGACGTGGACATGCTTTTCCCCGTGCGAGGCAAAGGCACGTTGCCCTTCGCTGCGGGGGAATGTTCGTATCTGAGGATGGAAAGCGCAGCTGGACCTTAGAAGATGATGTACAGATGAATGGACCAAATAAGTAACACCACATCCTGTCTGTATTTACAAATTAAATAGAATAAATAATGTCTGTACGCAATAGTGGCAGAACACGGACCATAGTGTGGGCAGGGCCGCCCTGGCTTGTGCTGAGCCCGTACGACAGCTGCTGCACGCATCCTGCACCCGTCGGAGGCAGCCAGCACCCCAGGTCTCTGACACACGGGCTGAACGCTGAGGGGTCAATGTAGGGTGAGGAAAGACCCCCACTCCCTCCAAGAGAGGCCAGCCAGGGTGGGAGCTCCGCGCCGCCAGCAGCAGGACGGCTGACGTCAGGCTGCTCCTCGCTTCAGCGTCTGCGTTGTGAAAGCCTTGGACGGTGTCAGCGGCACGGACGTCAGCCGGAGGAGCGCGGCGCTCGCCTGTGGAAGCGGGGCAGCGGGGGGGGGGAGTG